GATGTTACCACCCCCATGCTTCACAGTAGGGATGGTGTTCTTGGGATGCAACTCATCCTTCTTTTTCCTCCAAACACGACGAGTGAAGTTTAGACCAAAAGGTTCTACTTTGGTTCTACTTTTGGTCTCCTCTGCATCACCACATGACATTTTCTCCCATGCCTCCTCTGCATCATCCAGATGGTCATTGGCAACCTTCAGACGGGCCTGGACATGTGATGACTGGAGCAGGGAACCTTCAGACGGGCCTGGACATGTGATGACTTCAGGGGAACCTTCAGACGGGCCTGGACATGTGATGACTGGAGCAGGGGAACCTTCAGACGGGCCTGGACATGTGATGACTGGAGCAGGGGAACCTTCAGACGGGCTGGACATGTGATGACTGGAGCAGGGGAACCTTCAGACGGGCCTGGACATGTGATGACTGGAGCAGGGGAACCTTCAGACGGGCCTGGACATGTGATGACTGGAGCAGGGGAACCTTCAGACGGGCCTGGACATGTGATGACTGGAGCAGGGGAGCCTTCCATGCAATGCATGATTGGAAACCATGACGTCGTAGTGTTTCTACCGACAGTGACCTGTGAAACTGTGGTCCCAGCTCTCTCCATGTCCATTGAGCAGCTCCTCCCTTGTAGTTCTGGGCTGATTCCTCACCTTTCTTCTCATCAGTGATACCCCACAAGGGGACATCTTGCATGGAGCCCCAGTCCGAGGGAGACTGACAGTCGTCTTCAGCCTCTTCCATTTTCTAACAATTGCTCCAACAGTTGATCTATTTTCACCAAGCTGCTTGGCAATTGCCCCGTAGCCCTTTCCAGCCTAGTGGAGGTCCACAATTTTGTCTCTGGTGTCTTGACAACTCTTTGGTCTTGCCCATGGTAGTAGTTGGCGTCTGACTGACTGTGGGGTGGACAGGTGTCTTTAAAGAGCTCAGACAGGTGCTACTAAGTTAGATGAATGAGTGGAGTAGAGGGGGACTTTATAAAGGCGCAGTAACAGGTCTCTGAGAGCCATAATTCTTTCTGTTTCTCAGGGGTTCAAATACTTCTGTTCAGCCGTGCGAGACAAATAAATTCTTTACAAATCATACAATGTGATCTCCTGAATTCTGTCCTCAGAGTGGGAATCCCCTGCAATGTGAATTTCAGACCCTCCATGATGGAGAAGTGGGAGAACGTGCAGAATCGCAGGGGGTTCAAATACTTCTGTTCCTCACTGTATGTAGATCAAAGATATTTTTTTTTTTTTTGCAACATTTTTAAAATGCGTTCGGATTTCAACTCCAGCTTAACATGTGAATTTTATTTATTTTATTTTTTTTTTTAATGAGAAACAACTATTTCCAGTAGACAGCTTTTGGATATTTTTTTTTTTTTTTTTTTTAAACAAAAACAAAAAAAAAATGTTAAAAAAAAGTATTTTATCTGTTTATAAAGTGCACTTTAAAGGCATAAAGGGACATGTTTAAAAAAAAATTTGTAAATGCATCGGAAACCAATTAATCAGTTCCGGAGGTCAGAAAAAAGTTAAAAAAAAAAAAGTATTTTATCTGTTCAAAACTCTTTGTAAAGTGCACTTTAAAGGCACAAATACTATACAGGGACGTGATTAAAAAAATGTGTAAATGCATTGAAAACCAATTAATCCGTTCGTATTGTGAAGAAAAAAAAAAAAGCCGCTATCACTATAGGTCAGTGTTATTTTTTAAATGTAATATACCAGCTTATTTTTGTGTTTTTACTATAGCTCAGAGAATCAGCTGTCACCCCCCCCCCCCCCCCCAGCTAAAAGAAAGAAAGTTTTGAGTTAAAAGAAACAATGTTTCCTTTTAGTTTCTTAACCTCCCCGGCGGTCTAACTAATCAATATTTTTGAATGTCAAAGCGATACATTGTTTTCCATGGAAATTTGTTGTTTTATATTGTAGGCCTGTAATTCTTAGGCCCCATGTACACGGGACACTTCTGAACGATGGAAACCGACTGCTGGAAAACGTAGGTTAAAAAACATCTGTTTAGCTGCGTTTGCATAAAGCATTTATGCACATTTGCGTTTAGAAGCGTTTTTTTAAAGATTGGCACAGGAGAACCTCCCAAATCCCCAGAATGCACTGAAAAGTGGTAAATTATGAACTATTTAAGACCGTTTCAGAGAAATACAGAGAGTAGAAGCAGAGACAGCAGTATGTGTTGAGATTAGCTTAGGTGTGAAGTGCTCATTAACATTTTTGTTTCCAAGGGTGGGAGAGGTCTGAGGTGTGAATGGTCCTTAACATATCTTTTGTTTCCAAGGGTGGGAGAGGTCTGAGGTGTGAATGGTCATTAACATATCTTTTGTTTCCAAGGGTGGGGAAGGTCTGAGGTGTGAATTGGTCCTTAACATATCTTTTGTTTCCAAGGGTGGGAGAGGTCTGAGGTGTGAATGGTCATTAACATATCTTTTGTTTCCGAGGGTGGGGAAGGTCTGAGGTGTGAATTGGTCATTAACATATCTTTTGTTTCCAAGGGTGGGAGAGGTCTGAGGTGTGAATGGTCATTAACATATTTTTTTGTTTCCAAGGGTGGGAGAGGCCTGAGGGTGTGAATTGGTCCTCAACATTTTTTTTGTTTCCAAGGGTGGGAGAGGTCTGAGGTGTGAGGGTGGGGAGAGGTCTGAGGTGTGAGATGGTCATTAACATTTTTTTTGTTTCCAAGGATGGGGAGAGGTCTGAGGTGTGAATGGTCATTAACATTTCTTTTGTTTCCAAAGGTGGAAGAGGTCTGAGGTGTGAATGGTTATTAACATTTCTTTTGTTTCCAAAGGTGGAAGAGGTCTGAGGTGTGAATGGTCATTAACATATCTTTTGTTTCCGAGGGGTGGGGAAGGTCTGAGGTGTGAATTGGTCATTAACATATCTTTTGTTTCCAAGGGTGGGAGAGGTCTGAGGTGTGAATAGGTCATTACAATGTGTGACAAGCTTGGTGGGAACACCCTGTGTTCAGTGTTTTTGTCCATCTGAGTACCTTGAAAATGCTTTGCATGCATTTTTCATGATGAAAAGAAAAGCTCCTGAACGTGAGTTTATCAGCTGCAGTGTATATGAGGCCTTAGGAATAACTCGCTTAAATCTGTCCGAACAAGAGTCTAGTAAACAGGGGTAACTCATGGGGCCCCCGGGCAATAGGGGATCATGGGGCCCCTGTGTCCTTGCCCAAACTCAAAAAAGCCTATGAAAAAAGTACCAGGGGCATCTCATGGGGCCCCCTACTGACCCTGGGCCCTCGGGCAGAGCCCGAGTTTCCAAATGGTCAGTCCGCCCCTGCTAGTAAACATCCTGGGTATGATAAAGTTTGAAACACGAAATCATAAATTATAATAAATAATTATAAAAATAATAATAATAATAAATGTAATAATAATAATAATAATAAAAGTAAAAAAAATAAAAGTAATAATTAGGAATAATAATAATATAATAATAATAAATTTAATTCAATAATATAATCAAACCAAAAACACTGAAATGTGAAATAGAGCGCCAAGTTCGCACATCGCTGAGCTCAGTCGCAGAATCGTTTTCAGTGTCTGATGAGGAATTTCCCCCACCAATCATTATCACTCAATTCTGCAAGTGGTTCTGATTTACTATCGCTGTTCTCTAGCCGGTCTAAAACCGCGTCTGACCTAAAGGGACGCTTTTTGGACGCCATGACGTTTCGTTTCTCAGTTTCCAGGCAGAAAGAACAGTAAAAATGCAGGCAGGGCGCCGGACAAAGCACTCGGGACAAAATGTATGTGAAATGGTTGGATACAGGAATGGAATCCGAACAGATTACAATGTATTGTGTGTATGTCTTGTTTTTACATTTTTGAATCTCCTCCCAGTTCCGCCCCCATGTCCCAACGGAACCCGGAAGACGAATGCTGGCATCGGCCGGTGGACATGGCCGGGAGTCACGGCAGTGGTGTGTTTAGGATTCGTGTTGCCCTAGGCAACACAAAACGTGGCTCCCCCCATTGACCAACAACACCCCTGCACCCCCCACCTGAGAGAGCCTTCCACTACCACTGTCCCCCATACACTGGCAACCCCCCCACCCCAGGAACAAGAGTCGGGCTCTGCATACACCATCAAGCAGCCATCAGCCTCTCTCGGATCCCCATGGTGCACGTGTCCCTTCTTTCATCCTTTCTTCTGGGGGGAGGTGCTGCCCCCCTGAAAAATGCCGCCCTATGCAAGTGCCTTGTTTGTAATGTGGTACATATACCCCTGGGTTCTGGGTAATCTAGGTATCAAGGATCTTTCACCCCCACGGACACCGGCCAACACCACCCCCTCCTTCCCCCTCCCGCTGCGAGAGCCTGACATTGATCAACAACACCCCTGCCCCCAACCCGGGAAAGCCTTTGTCTACCACCCCCCACCACTCATCTGCACATCTCCAGACATCCCCGGGAACAAGAGTCAGGCTCTAAATCCATCAAGCAGCTCACAGCGTCTCTCAGATCCCAACTGGTCCCCGTGCTGCGTGTGTCCCTTCTTCCTTTCCTTCTTTCAGGGGACAGCTCTGCCCCCCTGAAAAATGCCGCCCTAGGCAAATGCCTTGTTTGCTTTGTGGTAAATACACCCCAGGGACACAGCGGGAGGACCTCACAGGATCGTGGGACAAGGTAAGGCTCGAGGGATCGCTGCAGTGTAAATCCCGAGTGTGGCTCGGGGTTACCGCTTTTTGTAGTGAAATTAACCCCTGAGCCACACTGGGGATTACCACCAGGGAGGTTAAAAGAAACAAAGTTTCCTTTAGCTCCGGAGAAAGTGACAGCTAATTCTGTGAACTATAGTGAAGAAAAAAAAAAACGGCAGTTGCATTTAAAAATCAGCACCGACATACACTTTGTATTACGTTATTTTGAATGGATTTTCGTTCGTAAAACCGAAAATGGCGTTAACCGCGGCGTTCGTGACCCGAGGTACGCCTGTAGGTCATCGCAACACGGTCACAAGGAGTCTGGCCACTCTGTCTCAGCAAGTTAAAGCTGTCAATAGTGAGAACACACATACAGTGGTGTCCCGAGGAAGGTGCGGGGGGTGCGGTCCGCACCGGGTGACACCGATCGCAAGGGGTGACACCGGACCCGCTCCACAAAAAGGTACGTTTGTAAAGCAAGCCGATGATCCCCGCAGGATGGATCCGATCCATCTGCGGGGATCATCCACTTTCTTTACAACTTACCTTTTCTTGGAGTGGGTCCGGTGTCCATCCTGTATAGGTTGCATGCTGACGATCCTGCAGGGATTCGGGGTGACACCAAGAAAAGGTAAGTTGTAAAGAAAGCCGACGATCCCCGCAGGATGGATCGGATCTGCGGATTGGGGAGCATAATGGATCAGAGTCCAATCAATTATGCTCATTCCGCAGATCCGATCCATCCTGCGGGGATCGTCGGAGGGGGTGTCACCAAGTGTTACTGCACCGGGTGACACCAACCCTAGGGATGCCTCTGCACACATACCAGACTTTTTTGCTCAATCCCACTTGCAAATTCAGGAAATGGTTAAATTGGTTGTAAACCTCTGAAATGAAAACTGAACAAAACATATCCCTCTATAGTGTGTACCTGCCTCAATCCAAGGCACCTAGCGTGCTTCCTATCTGCTCTCTTCCCCAGGGGCGGACTGACAACTCATGGGGTCCCCCGGGCAATAGGGGAAACATGGGGCCCCTGTGTCCTCGCCCACACTCATGGCACACTGAAAAATGCCTAAAAAAAAAAAAAAAAAAGGGTACCAGGGGCATTTCATGGGGCCCCCTAATGACCCCGGGCCCTCGGGCAGTGCCTGAGTGATCGAATGGTCAGTCTGCCTCTGCTCTTTCCTTTGCTATCACATGAGTCACATCTGACAGATTATGTCAACAACAAAGAATCCCAAGGATTGGTCCCAACCCTCCTCCAGCACACAGCAGGTGATTGGGAGCCTCAGCTTGTGCATGCTTCCCTATGAGGTTGTGGGGAGCGTGGGTCTCAGATTACACTCAGCTCCCTGATCTAGGCTGTTCTATTAAAAAACTCTGCCCCCTGCCTTCTGGAGTTGGGAAATAACCTTTGATTTGTGTGTTTTAGAAGGCTGTGGAGAATGGAGTGAAAAAAGATGACTAAAAATGAGTAAACCTCAGTAAACAAAAACACATAAATAAAAGAAAACTACTGATAGACGAATGAGTGAACAATCCACATATACCATGTACAGAGGCGTCCCTAGGGTTGGTGTCACCTGGTGCGGTAACACTTGGTGACACCCCCTTCGACGACCCCCGCAGGATGGATCGGATCTGCAGATTGAGCATAATGGATAGGAGTCCGATCCATTATACTCCCCAATCCGCATATCCGATCCATCCTGCGGGGATCGTCGGCATGCAACCTAAACAGGGTGACACCGGACCCGCTCCACGAAAAGGTAAGTTGTAAAAGAAGCCGACGATCCCAGCAAGATGGATCGGATCTGCGGATTGGGGAGCATAATGGATCGGACTCCCATCCATTATACTCCATCTGCAGATCCGATCCATCCTGCTGGGGATCGTCGGCTTGCTTTACAACTTACCTTTTCGTGGAGCGGGTCCGGTGTCTCCCCGTGCGGGCCGCACTCCCCGCTCCTGCCTCGGGACACCACTGACCATGTAACTAGTGTGCACAATAATATCCACAGGAGTGAAACAAGTGGCAATAAGGAGAAAAACGTGGTCAAAAAATGAATGCGCAAAACATCAAAATGTCAGTGGAAAAAAGCATAAAGATACCGTATAGGAGAACCAAAAACGAGATAAAAAAAAGGCATAAGAAAATGACAAAAAGATGAAACGTGGCCAAATACTGAATAAAAAAAATCAATAAATGAGAAAATGTTGCAAATGGCGATATAAAGGTGACATAAAAAAGTGACAACAAACATAAACGTGGCCAATTGGTGAGCGGTCATCAGGTTTTAGGTGAATACAATAAAGCGTACAAGAAAAGACAATACGATCAATGGCGAAAAAAATGGATGACAAATAAGTCCCAAAAAACAACAGTCCCCCCCCCCCCCCCCAAAAAAAAAAAAGTCCCAAAAAACAAACGTAGTACATGTGTACAGTGGATAAATGAGCACAGTGGATAAAAAGACGAAACGTGGCCAAATAGTGAATAAAAAAACATCAAGTGTACAGAGGAAAAATGAGAAAATATTGTCAAAAGGCGATAGAAAGGTGACATAAAAAGCGTGGTGACATCATTCCGGCACGGACGGCAGCCGCCATCTTGGTACTCCCAACCTCGTACACCCTGTACTGTTTGAAATACGGAGATTGCCTTTTGGGTCTCGTTTGCTTCGCCATTGAGATCCATCCGGTTGAGGATCATTTACCTGCATTTATGCTTTGTGACTCCTTAAGGGTCGCAGTTTGAAGGTGAACGCGCACGCTAGGATCGCCCTTTTGGTTGGTCACTGAATTTACACGGCTTTGTGCGGAAGATTCACACACCGTTTGTTTTTTGGGACTTTTTTTTTTTTAGGAGGGGACTGTGTCGTTTTTTGGGACTTATTTGTCGTCAATTTTTTTCGCCGTTGATCCTGTTTGCTGGTAAATGTCAGGCGTTTCTGCAAAACGCTTAGGTGTGAACCTAGCAGGGGCGGACTGGCAACTCATGGGGCCCCCGGGCAATAGGGGATCATGGGGCTCCTGTGTCCTTGTCCAAACTCAAAAAAGCCTATGAAAAGGGTACCAGGGGCATCTCATGGGGACCCCTACTGACCCCGGGCCCTCGGGCAGTGCCCGAATTTCCAAATGGTCAGTCCGCCCCTGGAACCTAAGGTACGTGTAAAATAGTTTTTTTTTTTCGGGACCTACACTTTACCCACCAGTGCCCGATGCGACTAATCACGGGGAGTGTATGGAAATGTATGACTTTTTATTTCTGCTATATATTAATGTCTCCCTTCTACTTCTGGGTTTTCACCACTTAAAATGCAACTTTACCGCAACGCCTATACTGCGATATTGTGCAGCTTTTCACTCACCTATTTTTTTTTTTTTTTTGTCGTTGTTGTAACTATATTTGTAAAACCAAATAAAAATTTATTATAGAAAAAAAAAAAAATGCAGCCGGCTCCGTATTACCTAGAAATCCATATCCATCTGAGGATGCGAGCGACATCGGGAAGAGCAGCACGGGATTGGATCCATTCTGCAGGAGCCGCGCTGATCTTCCACATCATTTCACAAGAGTGCAGAGCCATCACGCTAATATAAGGTCATCACCGAAATTATAAGTATAGATGTGGAAAGCGGGCTGCTTTTAAGACCGACTAAATGGTGACAAAATCATACCGCGAGCCGCCCTCTAAATACAGGCAAGCGGCCCCGCGCCAATTTGCAGCAATAATCCCGGCCGCCGTAAGTAGCTGTAATGCGGCAGATTACCCTTGATTTCCAGCTGCATCTTTGTAATTGTAGGCAACAATAAGCCATGGGATCGTGACAGAACGAGCCACAATGAGCTGCAAGGATTTCTTCACCTTTTTTTTTCCACTCTTCCCTGTGCAATTCTTCAAATTCACAGAAAAAAAAAAATAAATTAAAATGATAAAAAAAATACTTTTCTGGTATTCGGGATACATGAAAAAAGGAGTGGATGGATGAATGGAGACATGGATGGATAGGGGAGTGGATGGATGGATGAACACATGGATGAATGGGGGAGTGGATGGATGAATGGAGACATGGATGGATAGAGGCGAGAATGGATGGAGACAAAAATGGATAGGGGAGTGAATGGATGGAGACATGGATGGATAGGGGAGTGAATGGATGGATAGGGGAGTGAATATATAGGGGAGTGAATGGATGGAGACATGGATGGATATTTGAATGAATGGATGGAGACATGGATTTATTTCAGGCAGGATTGAATGGATGGAGACATGGATGGATAGGGGATTCAATCCATGGAGAGCATGGATGGATAGGGCCGTGAATGGATGGAGATCATTGTGATGATTATAGGCTTACAGCTCATGGATGGAAATCCATGGATAGGGGAGAAAATGGATGGATATTCCATGTGAATCAATAAAACATGGGTGGATAGGGGAACAATGGACCTGGAGACAAGTGGAAGGGGAGTGCATGGATGGAGACATGGACTTGGTTAGGGGAGTGAATGGATGGAGACATGGATGGATAGGGGAGTGAATGGATAGAGATATGGATGGATGGGAGAGTGGATGCCTGTGGCACTGGGGAGTGGATGATTGGATGGATAGAGACATGGATGCTTCAATAGGGGCCTTCATGGCTCTTCTGAAGCATGGAAGAATGCGGGATGTCTCTCATCTTGGAGACTTGGCAATGGAATAGATTCTCTATGGGGTTCAGGACAGGGATGTTTACTGGCCAGTCAAGCACAGCAATCCCAGGTCATGGATGGAAGGGGAGTGTTTTGGTGTGGATAGGGGATGGAATTGGATGGAGCCATAGATGGATAGGGGAGAGAATGGATGGATGGATGGATAGAGTGAATGGATGAATGGGATGGATAAGGGATGAATGGAGAGATATGGATGGATGGGAGAGTGGATGGTTGGTGGATGGACGGGGGAGTGGATGATTGGATGGATAGAGACATGGATGGAAGGGGAGTGGATGGATGGATGAAGACATGGAAGAATGGGGGAGTGGATGGATGAATGGAGACATGGATGGATAGGGGTGAGAATGAATGGAGACATGGATGGATAGGGGAGTGAATGGATGGAGACATGGATGGATAGGGGAGTGAATGGATGGATATGGATGGATAGGGGAGTGAATGGATGGAGACATGGATGGATAGGGGAGTGGATGAATGGCTGGAGACATGGATGGATAGGGGAGTGAATGGATGGAGACATGGATGGATGGTTGGTCCATGGATGGATAGGGGAGTGACATGGATGGAGACATGGATGGAGGGAGAGTGGATGGTTGGATGGACGGGGGAGTGGATGATTGGATGGATAGAGACATGGATGAATGGGGCAGTAGATGGACAATCTGTCCTAAAAGAAAGGCGGTATAATTAGGGTGGCCTCCACATCCCTTTAAACCCGGACACATATGAATGACACGGGTTCTGGAGCTGATTAAGTTGGTAATTAAACTCACATGGTGCCTTGAACTCGGCCTCAGAACCCGTGTCCTTCATATGTTTTCCGGTTTAAAGGGATGAGGTGGCCACCCTAGGTACAATCCACCTGGACACACAACAAGTGGCTGCCATGATATGTACATTTTTACTAACAGGGGTCAAAGCTGCAAAATTGAGTTTGTTGGGTGTTGTGATTTGTTTTGACCTTGGTCATGAAGGGGCTAATCACTTAAACTGAAGATCATTTTGGAATCTAGTTCGCTGAACAACTACAAGGTCTCGTTTGTGTTGTCTTCGCAAATGTAAAGGATCTTGGGAAATGGT